TACGCTTACTAATCCACCCTGTTCAATGTCAGCAGTTCAGAATGGTGCTGTTCATATTTTTATCAGCTTCAATTAGCGTGAGTCTCCGAGCAGGTTGGGAGATCTCATTTCAGCGCTCGTGTCTCTTGAAATGCAGAAGGATTTCAGGATGTGACCAAGTGGACGACAACGGTTTTGGCAAACTGGAGCACATTCATGGGTTCTTAGTGGAGGTAGACAAGTTATTCCTAAGCTTCATTATTATTGAAAGCCTTTTCTGAAAGCTAAAAGTGACACATGATCTCCGAATATTAATAGAAGAAATGCTGGGTTTTTATTCTGCTTTGTACGACATTAGTAGAGTAATTTGTGAGTATTTGGGTCACTGAGCGACTCTATGGAACAACCACAAAGCTGCAGTTGTGCAACTACTTTTGTGTTTTTTGAAAAAACTAGGCAGTATTTTGAAAAGTGTTATTTTTACTATCTAAAATAAGACTATAAGTCTAAACATTAAAAAGCGTTGTTTTTTTTGTTTGTTTGTTTTTCAGGCGTACACTGTGCAGACTTTGAAATGAACACGAACTGAATGCTGAAGTCATATAAATAAGCCAGATATTTAACCTTTTCATATTTAGTGTAAGGGCAAAGTTCATTCACTTTGTATTTTCCGAACTTCTTAGCCTGTTTTACATAAATGTTCCTTCCAGAGTCAATACATCCTCATTCACCTGTTGAACCAAATATTATAACAATGAGCATTTCTATAAAAACAAAAATATTATCGAGGAATGAGTTCCACTGACCTACTTCTACGTATTTCTGTCATTTTTCATCCCTCAAGTCTAAAGTATAAAAACTAACAGAAACTTAAAAAAGAAAAAAACTTGAAATTATGTTGTGCTTAGAAAAAAAACCCCAACATGCTAAGAAACTTTTTTTTTTCTTTACTGCAGAAATAGTTAACGCTGTTGAAATATTTTCAAGAATATACTCCATTATGTAGGCAGGGCTGTTTATTATCTAGTGATACATAAAGGCTATTTAAACTGATAAGATAATCTCTAATCACTGCATAAAACAGTTTGTTCTCATTTGTTTACCATTTTTTATTTATTTATTTTTTACCTGTAATACAAGTGTGTGTCTGGCCATAAGAGTTAGAAGAATTTGTCGTCATCCTCCAGGAGCTGCCCAGCAGATGGCAAGGAAACGGTGAAACACTTTACTGACCTGAACTTCCTGGATATTTAACATTTAGAAATTTTGGATGGGATTAAATGAATATAAACCAGTTGGGTCAAAGCTGGATTTTTACATTTATTTTGTCTTGACTAAAACAACCAGATTCCATGGAAGAACTCTTGAGTTTATCTATAATATTCCTCAGTAACATGCTTCTTATTGCAGGGGATGTTGGTTTACGCTCCCTCCCCCCTCAATATGCACCTCAAATTACGTCATGTGCACCAGAGATTTCTCTATTTTCTAAACAACTGCAAACAGATTTTTGAACCCAGAGCTCAGGATATTTAAGTTACCCAACTACATAAAAGAAAGCAGGTTTTGGTGATATTAGTAGAGTAGCATCTTTGATATGTGGCATTAATGTTTAACTTGCAAATAACATGGATGTCTAAACAAATATTTCTGTTCGTATATGAATCAGCTTGAATAAATTAGCCACGATTTCCAGTTTTCTGGTGTAAATTCCCATAATCCCCAGGGAAAGTGTCTGGGTATTTATTGCCATACATTTTCTAAGCCTGTTTAAGTACACCATCAACCCACACAGATGTGAGAAAATGACTTGGATGTCCAAGGTAATAAACTCTCACCAAGGTGCAATAACTTATAGTACTTTAATCACTCAAACAACACATGCGAGAGCAGATTTCTTAACTCAAAAGGTAGCTTAAAGCTACAAACATGGAAAAAAAACTTTTAAAGAACATGAGTAGACAAATTCTGTTCATTCATCTTTGAAAATACATGTATACACCTCCAGGTTGTTTTTTTTTTCCGTTTTTTTTTTTTTTTAAGTATATTCAAAGAGTACTGAAAAGCATGTTTAAATACTTGATAAACTGATTCAAATATTGACTAAACATCCATTTAATTACAATTCCAAGAGCTACGACACATCAGTCTTCTCTGCATGTACAACAATGCATCAACACATATATTCATCATATAGTTACTCCTATGCTGATTACTTGACTTCAGTAGTATCAGAAACTGAGAAAACTGGGAAAATGGAATCATTCGTGGTAGAATCAATGCAGCGGACAGGAAGAAGCTTCCTCGTATTAATAGACAAATAAAAAATACAAAAAAAAAAAAAAATAAAGACAAGCAAAACCAAATTCTTCAAAAAGCTAAAACACTGAGTATGTGTTCTGTAAACCTGAGCAACTCAGTGCTGTAGCGTTTGCATGCTCTGTGCAGATGGACAGTCTTCATTAAACCAGATGCTCCTGTCCATCCTGACACACAATATGGTGGTCTTCGGCCTCCACATGGCTCTGTGTTAATTAAAGAGCCTTGTGCGGCCCTCGGACCCTGCAGCTGATTATTGGCTGCAGCATTGGGGCTGTTGGACGTGAAGGAAGCGACCCCAGGAAGAGGCGCGGTGCATCGTGTGTGAAAGGGGTGAATCGTTTGAAAGCGGAGCTGTGACAGCTGAAGCTGGAAGCATGTGTGAGGCATGTTTGTTTTGCATTTACCCCTCGACCGCAGCTGTGTGCACCGTCCTTTTCCCAAAACGCCGGAACACACAGACGCCCTTCGCTCAACCTCTCAGCTAAAAGCGGGACGGGGGGACAGGAGGCACCTCATTTGTCTTCCATGCAAACACATATCCTACCATTTTCACCACAGTTTAGCATAATGCAGATAATTTTAGAGGGATCTCTGCTGACAGGTAGCGGCCTGTAACCAACCAAACAAAAGGGAAAGTTGATGTGGTTCACTTTAGGGAAATTCTCTGCTTTTCGACCTGGTGCAATATTTCAAATTGACTCTTTGACAAAACATCTTTGTTATGCTTTAAGCCTACGTTTAGCTTCCTGGTCACAGGAAATATGTCTTATGCTGTAGAACTATGGAAAACTTCATTTGCTATTTCTGTCTCTAGAGGAAGCTGTTGCCAGGGGGGAAACTCATCCTATATGAACGATATCCTCAGTGAGATCCGAAACATTTTATCTGTCTATTTGCCTTCCAAGTAATACCTGTTTGTTTTACTGTACAACTAGTTTTAAATAATTGATAAGCAGTCTGAGTATTCACTGAAGGTACACACACCCTTGTAAAAAACAAAACAAAAACAAAAAACAACTGTAATAACTGGTGAATTTAACTAAAGTTCTTTTCAACAATGACAAAAAAAAATAAGTTAATTGTTCTAGGCTCTCTTATTGATGCCTTACTGTCCTTTTGACCGTTTTAAATTTCTTTTAACATAAAAATAATAATTTCTTTGAAACAAAAATGTGTTATGCTAAATTTTAAAATTTGATATAGCACAAAATTTTATTTCTGTTTCTTTGTCATAATGATGAAAACATCAGACTTTTAGTCAATAACAGGCCACAATTTTCTTTTTTTTAAGCAGGCACCGGTATGATTAGGCTTCACTAAAGATTATCAGCATGTCGAGAAAGGACAATGTTTTACAATGAGGAGTCTACCAAAAATATGGCAAAGGTGGTATCATGCTGTGGGCCTGTGCTTGAAACAGGTACCCTGTTGTCAGAAGCATAGATTTGACAGTACAAAAACATAATGACTTAACAGAAAACTTTATTAAAACCTGCTCCATGTTTAGTATTATTAGATGCTGTTCTACAACGATCTTTTGCACAGATATTTTGGTTCTGTGCTTCTCTTCAGTGGTAACATTTCGAACCAGGACTGTTTATTGGTCCAATTGTTCTTGGACTGTGATGAGCTCTTTTATCTTTCCTCCTTTCTTGAAAGACATTGAATCTAACAATAGCATCCATTCTAAAACTCTGCTAGAATGTTTTTCTTATATGAACTTCAAAGATTTAGAATTTTTGACAGGTTTCTTCCATGCTTCACCTGAAATGTAGATTATTATTAATAACTGTGTTACTGTCACATGGCCATCCCCCTATAAAGATGTTTTTCAATTAACAGTGACTTTGATGCTTTAAGTATTTTGAGCAGAGCAACTAGAGAAAAGAAGATAAAAATACCATCTGTATGTTCAGCTTTGACAGCTAGACACATTCTGGCTGAAAATCCTAAAAAGTTCAACAAATGGCAAAGTCCTTGAAAAGCTTCAAAGTGTCAACGCACACTTTGTAATCTGGGCCGGTCTTCTCTCTTTCAAACACGGGGATTGCTTGTTTTCTGTGTTATTCCTGACAGTCTGACTGAGCGGAGGGCGCTTCCTTCTCCGAAGCAAGGCCAGGGGCTCAGTTGAGTCCCCTTTTTAGACAAAATGTCCTTTTTGTTTCAAGGCTCTCAGGTCCAGAGAGCAGCAGGCCTGCTGTGCACCTCCCCTCTCACTTCCTCGTCCATCGCCTCCTCTCTGCGGCCATCAGCAGACTTACTCAGTGCAGCAGGTGGATCTCCCATCTCGATCCGACTCAGCCTGGTCATGTTCCACCCACTCGACATTTAAATGTGAGGAAACAGAATAACTTATGGGTTTAGACGTTCCTAAACTCGCAGTATTTGCTGAAAAACTGTGCTGAAAGCGAGGAGCTGCTCGACGTGATGGATGTGCAGGACGATTTTCTGAAACACTCGTTTTTCTTTACAGCCCCAGTATTTCAGATTTAAAAAATTTTCTAATGCTAAAAATATTGTTGATGGAAAAAAAGAAATTATTGTGGCTTAAAAAAAAAGAACAATGACTTTCTGTTTCTTTTTTTTTGGGGTTGAAATATTTGTAAAAGTACAAAGATTCAAAAAAACAAAATCCTACAAAAAAATTAAATAAAGTAAAAATGAAAACAGCACCAAACTCCACACTGCATACACTTATAGCAATGCACAGACAATAAACGTGCATGAGAGTGTTTGAAATCCTCCTCTCTGTCTGTCTTTAGGACTACACAGCATTTCTTTCCATCAGGCTTTCACACTGACTTTCCTCCAGCAGAGGCACTGAAACCTGGCAAACCTCTGCCAGCCACCTCCGATGCTCATAATCATTTTTGTTGCAGCATTTATAAAGGCAGTCACTTTTTCCTGCAGAGTTTTGAATTAAGTGCCCCTAGTCTGCGTAATATATCCCCCATCCAGCGTGCATCGGCGCATCATGTTGCCCAAGAAATGGCAGCACTGTGCTCTTTGGCTTTCATACGCAAAGCAGCAATACTGGAGGACTTGCGGTCGGGATCCATGTTGAGATCGTACGTGTTGATGCCCGCAGCCATGCCAGGAGAGCCGCCAAACAGGCTGCCCATGTGAGGCTGTCCGACATGTCCCCCGGGACTCGATACGCCCAGGAAGTCAGAGACCCCACTGGCAGAGTGGGGGTGTGGGGTCATGCATGTGGTCACGGTGTCACAGGGAACAACGCAGCCAGGGACGGGAGATGCTGCACTGCTGCCGCCGATCCAGGAGGGGTTCTGGATCTGAAAACATTGTCAAAAAGGTAGAGGTAGAGGTGTCATGAAAAAATATATATAAAAATTATTATGTTTGATTTGTCATATTCAGTCAGAATGATTACGCCTCTCTGCTGGTTGTTCATACAGTAATCTTATGTTATGGCCTTCACAATAATGAGTAAGAGAGCGAGCCTGAGTCTGATTCAGCCATTACTGAGCCACGCGACTAAAGAAGCTGTTCAAAGGACACATTTGTTCCTTGCTGGCTGCAAAAAATTGCCCCTTTAGGACAGCAAAATTTATCTTGATGTTAATCTTGCTTTAGCCACACTTTTTTTTTCATTGAGCGAAACAACAAAAGTCTGTAAGAAAGTATGCAACGGGACATGAGAGAGTTTAGAAGGAAAGCCCATACAGTTAGGGCCAGAAATATTGGACAGCAACACAATATTTGTGAGTTGGGCTCTGCACGCCACCGCATTGGATTTGAAATGAAACCTCTACAACAGAATTCAAGTGCAGATTGTAACGTTTAATTTAAAGGGTTGAACAAAAATATGTGATTGAAAATGTAGGAATTGTACACATTTGTTTACAAACACTCCACATTTTAGGAGCTCAAAAGTAATTGGACATATAAACATAACCCAAACAAAAAAGTTTTTTCTCAATATTTTGTTGTGAATCCTTTGGAGGCAATCACTGCCTTAAGTCTGGAACCCATGGACATCACCAAACGCTGGGTTTCCTCCTTCTTAATGCTTTGCCAGGCCTTTACAGCCGCAGCCTTCAGGTCTTGCTTGTTAGTGGGTCTTTCCGTCTGAAGTCTGGATTTGAGCAAGTGAAATGCATGCTCAATTGGGTTAAGATCTGGTGATTGACTTGGCCATTGCAGAATATTCCACCTTTTTGCTCTCATGAACTCCTGGGTAGCTTTGGCTGTATGCTTGGGGTCATTATCCATCTGTACTGTGAAGCGCCGTCCGATCAACTTTGCAGCATTTGGCTGAATCTGGGCTGACAGTATATCCCGGTACACTTCAGAATTCATCCGGCTACTCTTGTCTGCTGTTATGTCATCAATAAACACAAGTGACCCAGTGCCATTGAAAGCCATGCATGCCCATGCCATCACGTTGCCTCCACCATGTTTTACAGAGGATGTGGTGTGCCTTGGATCATGTGCCGTTCCCTTTCTTCTCCAAACTTTTTTCTTCCCATCATTCTGGTACAGGTTGATCTTTGTCTCATCTGTCCATAGAATACTTTTCCAGAACTGGGCTGGCTTCTTGAGGTGTTTTTGGGCAAATTTAACTCTGGCCTGTCCTTTTGGAATTGATGAATGGTTTGCATCTACATGTGAACCCTTTGTATTTGCTTTCATGGAGTCTTCTCTTTACTGTTGACTTAGAGACAGATACACCTACTTCCCTGAGAGTGTTCTGGACCTCAGTTGATGTTGTGAACGGGTCCTTCTTCACCAAAGAAAGTATGCGGCGATCATCCACCACTGTTGTCTTCCGTGGACGCCCAGGCCTTTTTGAGTTCCCAAGCTCACCAGTCAATTCCTTTTTCCTCAGAATGTACCAGACTGTTGATTTTGCTACTCCAAGCATGTCTGCTATCTCTCTGATGGATTTTTTCCTTTTTTTCAGCCTCAGGATGTTCTGCTTCACCTCAATTGAGAGCTCCTTTGACCGTATGTTGTCTGGTCACAGCAACAGCTTCCAAATGCAAAACCACACACCTGGAAACAACCCCAGACCTTTTAACTACTTACTTGATTACAGGTTAACGAGGGAAAGGCCTTTTGAGTTACTTGCAGCCTTTGGAGTCCATTGTCCAATTACTTTGGTCCCTTGAAAAAGAGGAGGCTCTGCATTACAGAGCTATGATTCCTAAATCCTTTCTCCGATTTGGATGTGGAAACTCTCATATTGCAGCTGGGAGTGTGCACTTTCAGCCCATATTATATATAAATTGTATTTCTGAACATATTTTTGTCAACAGCTAAAATAACAAAACCTGTGTCACTGTCCAAATATTTCTGGCCCTAACTGTATATGCGCTTTGGAGAGATTGATAAGGTGTGCACTGTGTCTACAATCAGGGTTTCAAAAGCAACTGCATCAAGGAAATGAACTACAACTGCTGCGTTCCTTGAATTAGGCCACTTTCAAACCAATATCGGAAACCTGGACAAGTTGCCGGTCCATTATAAGCATGGAACATTGTTGATATTTATCACAATATTATGCTGTACTGGGATGTACCTGTAATATTTTAAGACATCCCTTGCTAACCTAAAGACTTGCTAAAAGGTTTTATCGGCTATTCAAAAGTTGAATCAAAGGTGAGTATGTTGCCGTCAGAACTCATAGCAGCAAACTGCAGCCAGCTAATATAAATAAAGTTGATGTCTGAGCCACAGCGCTTGGCATAACTCTATTTTAAAATGATATTTTGATGTTTTCAAAAACTTGGGCTTCACTTGAACATTTGTTTTTCAAAATCCTACATCCGCTGAGTTGGACCATTCTTGGCTGAACATAAAGCCATTGATTGATTGCTAAGCTTTTTTTCTAGCTATAAAAAAGAAGACCAAGATTGGCAACATAAATCAATTCAAAAGTGACAACAAGACTGACCAAACTTGAACTCAACTATTCCATTCTTATTAAAACAAAAATCTCTTGCGCAGCCTGTTAGCACTCAATAAACCAAATCTATCTGTTGCATTTTGAGCACGATTTAACATGTTGCTCCTGTACCTGTGCGTAGTTCTCAGGACGCGTTAGGAGCGGCAGCTCGTAAGCAGTTGAGAAATGTGTTCGGACCTGCTGCATCTGACCAAATCGTTCCCTCTTCCTCCACTTCGCTCTCCGGTTCTGGAACCACACCTGCAAATGGAAAACAAAAGTTTACACATCTTTGAAGAGAGCAAGAAGTTTGAGGTGAAGTTAAAATGAGACTGGAATAGCAGAAATGTAGTGTTACTAAAACCCAAACACACTTTTGCTTGAGATCAAAAGGAAGGACTTTTATCTGGATGTTTTAATTGGGAATCTGATTCTTATGAAAAAAAAAAAAAAACCCACAACCTTAGTGTGAACTCACAGTCTCAAAATTGCAACTCAGAGGCAATTAAAGCTGTGTGAGTGTGACTGAGGCGGAAAAGGAAGCGGATGATTTCGAAACAAATTGCTACAGAAATTTACATGTAGTTTGTAGCTCTAAAATCATCTCACCAATGCGTATTTGTTGTCTGACCACAGAGTGTGTGTTTTATCTTCCATAATTGCCTTTGACATCTAAATCTCATTGTGTTTACTGCAAAAATTTGTGTGTTTGGCTTTCTAGTGGAGAATCTGAAAGTAATCAAAATGTGTTTTTTTCTCTTGCGCTGTAATCATCTACCTTTTTTTTTTTTGTGCAAGCAAATCTAAACATCTAAATGTAAACATTTGATTTTATTGTCTCCTGAAAATGTCTCTTCCATTGATGTTACCAACCAGACTATTTTTCTGGTGCCCTCCTGATATCGTGCAAAAAGGGGGAATGGAAAAGTGAGATAGGATGATAATTGGTGTTTGTTTGGATCTTCCCTTTTAATTTCCTGAAGTCTAAAACCTCTGGCTTTGAGTCACGGTCTTCTTCTAAATTACGAAGGCACGCCGATTTGAGGCCATAATCCGTCTTTCCTTGATGTTTGATATGTCTTCTTTTGAGCCTAATCATCACCACCCAGTCGAAGACTGCTGTCTCCGAAGGTCACTTTATGGATTTACTGTAATGATCGAGCTCGTCACGTTCTTCCTCAAATCCTGAATCCATGGACATCTCAGTTTTTGCCCTGCTCCAAGTCTGTTGGCTATTATGCAGCTCTAACATATTTCTATGTTGCACACACTGCCTTGTGACAGTAATTGGTAAAGACCTTGACAGCTTAAGTAGCTGGTAGACTCTCAATGAGCCTTTATTTATGTTACTGCTCCAGAGAGAAAGAGCAGAGAAATACCAAACTGGCCCCAGCAGGAGGGCTGTACGGGGGCTGAAAACACTTTGAAGTGAGAGCGCGGCTCGGAGGATTGATAACCTGCCTCTGCTGTCACTCATTTCACCTTCCAAACCAAGTAGGAGAGGAAAAAAAAAAGAGGGGCTGCTGAGCCTGGCTTCAGTTTTCCAGCTGCCATAAAACTCCAACAACATAACAGGAGGATGTCTGACCAGTGTTTATGTTCATCAGCTATTTTTGTTCTCATTTTCTGCAAAAAAAAAAAAATCTCTAAGTGGAGAACTTGATATTCCCTGTAAGGTCATCAGAGGGCACCTGCGGACTGAGGTTAAAGAGATACTATGAATGTTTACTGTTTTCATTTGAAACTCGTTAAAAATGCAGTTTATCCAGGAAGACTTGCAGCAGTGCTTTCCTGTGCTGTTTGTTGTAAACTTTTACCGATGCATTAGATTCTGCAACATATGCTTGCATAGTGTTTTGTTTTTGTTCTGGAGAATGGAAATAATGGTGTCGTGCTTATAGTGCTAAAGATCAAACATTCGTCTGGTTTACAAAAAGCTTAATAGTGCTAGTCTGTCTGTGCTAAAATCATTTAAATTTAAAATGAGGATGACTTAAAAACACCATTTTTCTTCTTGTTGCTAAAATGGTTTCACATTCTATCTCAGTTTAGCAGACAACTTGACATCATAATGTAACATTACGGATATTCCTCGGCCCTTTGAGATGCGCTCTGACCGTCTCGCCTCCTCTGTCTCTCTGTAGGTGGGATCTGCGTCTCATCTTTCATCTATAAACTCATGTGGACACCTGTGTTTCCCCGGAGGACTCCACGTCCGATGCCGTCTCGGCTCCCTGGACGTATCAGAGCTGCGAATCTCAGAGATGTGACGATACTGAAGCCCCTGACCTGTGACCCCTGACCTTCACATGTAGTGTATGTGGCTCAGATCTGAATTCACCTTCTTCCTTTGAAACCCTGAGACTAAAAAAGCAAACAACACCGGGCCCTGGCGTTGTTTAACAAAAAGGTGCCCTGTTATTTGATGTGCGTGTATGTGAAACATGAACCACTGAGGTCTGTTTGCTCTCCTTTCTTTTGTAAGAAAAAAGCTATATGTTTTGGAGAATGCTTTTTATCAGTAGTTTAGGGTGCTCTAACATTTCTTTGCTCCAGATGCTGACCTGATGAGTTTTTTTGTTTCTTTTCTTTCCCTCTTACATGCAAATTACCTGGATGGAGCACAAAACCCTATCCTGTGGCTGACAAGGCATCTTGTGCCTTTTATCTTTTTAACCTGAGTGTTTAAGTGGACTGCTGGGAGAGCCGACGACTGTAAAGCTGCATCCATCTGCAGCGGGCAGGTCAGTGATAGCACAACTGCAGAGCGGCATGCCTTTAGACTCTGGAGTGAGTTACGGCCCTGGAGGCTGCACAGATTTCCTGTATTTCTCGCTCACCGTTTCAGCTCATCATCTGGGTGATTGTTTTTGATCAATCTCTTATCTCATCTAAATTGACGGACACGGAAAGAACGAAGCCAGAATTTAACATATTAGGCTTGTTTTGGCCAGAACTTGAAGTAAGCTGATAACAGTCGCTGACGAACCAGCGGAAGCCCATGGGAAAAGTTTCACACCTCCTGGAGACCACAGCAGGGACACATTCTTGTCTGAACGGGTCTTTAATGAAAGAAAAACAAGGAAAATCCAAGGGCTTTGGTTCTCATCCACATGCACCACACAAAGACATGGAGCAGATATGGTGGAGGTCTCTTTCACTCTCTCTGATGTGGGAATGCATTACAGCAGTTGTGACCAGTTTCTAAACTAATTGAGCCTAAAAGGTCAAAGGGGCGCTGTGAGCCTCAGCTCATGGAGAACCCGACAGCAGAGATCTTGCAATTTCAGGAAACTAAACTTTGAAAGTGCAAAGGGATAAAGCCATCAAGACAATCCTAAGGAAAAACATTGCAGAGCCATGTGTTGATGAAAGTCTGCTCTCTTTAAACTGCACATATGAGGCCCAGGCAGCTCAAACCTCAGCCCCCTGATCCACCCTGGGCCCCCTGGCCTCTGCAAGCTCTCACTCCCCCACACTCTCTCTCCCCACTCCCACATTACTAGATAAATCTCTCATGTTGTTCTGAGAGTGACTTTATCTCTGCAGATGCTGAAGGGTGCAGGAGGTTTTGTTGTTTAAAGCCTTTTCTCTTCAGAGCTTTTTTTTTTAAAGCATTGTGTCCAGAATAAATGAATCCAACGTCCATTTAGTTGTGTTGGCTCTTACCTGCACTCGGGCTTCGGTCAGGTCAGTCCTCAAAGCGAGCTGCTCCCGGGCGTAAACGTCAGGATAATGCGTCTTTTGAAAAACCTTCTCCAGTTCCTCCAGCTGATAGCTGGTGAAGGTGGTGCGGTTGCGTCTCTTCTTGCCCTTGTTGCTTTCGCCACCATCGACTTTTTCCAGCGGACTCGCCAAGTCATTGCTCGGCGACCTTTCAGAGGCTGCCTTGACACCTTGGTCCTTCACAGCCAAGTATCTGGAGTCCATTCCAGGTGGATCAGAGTCTGGGGCCAAATCAGAGTCTGTCAGGCCTGAATTGTCCTTACCTGCAGAAACAGGAAGTGTGTGAAACTCTTAAAAGTGTTATTCTTAAGAAGAATGATTGGACTGGAACAACTCTTTGTAAATTTGTTGCTATTAAACTGAAGATAAATTAGGAAAAGGGGAGTATTTATAAGAGTAATGTATTGTAGTGGGGAAAATACAGTGTGATTTTCAGAAGACAGAAAGACGCAGAAGAATATATGTGTTTGATACATTTGGTCCTCAAAGGTATTTACATTTTTCAGGTGACCTTATTGGCCTGAGTGCTCAGTATATATATTTATATATATATATAAATAACAACATGGGAACGACATAACCAAGTGGCAGGCATAGTGTACAGAAACATCTGTGCAGAATATGGACAGAATATGGACAAGATCAAAGTGGGAAACACCCCCAAAGGTGGTGGAGAACGCCAGAGCTAAGATCCTGTGGGACTTCCAGATCCAGACAGACAGAATGGTAATGGCAAACCAACCAGACATTGTCGTAGTGGATAAACAACAGAGGAAAGCCGTTGTGGTAGATGTAGCAATACCAAGCGACTGCAACATCAGGAAAAAGGAGCACGAGAAACTGGAGAAATACCAGGGCCTCAGGGAGAACTGGAGAGGGCCTGGAAGGTGAAGACCACAGTGGTGCCTGTGGTCATCGGGGCCCTCGGGGCAGTAACCCCCAAACTGGAGCAGTGGCTACAACAGATCCCAGGAACAACATCAGACATCTCAGTCCAGAAATGTGCAGAGATACTGCGCAGGACCCTCAAGCTCCCAGGCCTCTGGTAGAGGACCCGAGCTCAGAGTCAACACTTTTCTTGCCTTGGCTCACATGCAAAAATCTGCTGAATATTTTGGTCATAAATCCAACAAAATCTTCCAATGAAAATCTCTGTGTGATATTTTTTTTGATCTTGGCCCATCATAAAGAATTTTCCTCCTGGGAATAGACATGGATCATCTAATTAGCTCTATCTAATGTCAAACAAAAGAAAACAAGGGGTCTCCTTTGACCAAACTTCCAGGAACGAGCCTCAGACAGAGCATTCAGATATAATGATTTCTTTGAAGGACCAATATTTTAATTTATGAGGTCTGACGGGGCGGAACAAAGACGTTTCTCACTCTGTGTGATGAAACTTTGTTGTGAAATGTGTTGCCACAGTGTTTAGTGTGTGCTTGTAAAACTGGCTGCTTAACCCAGTAGACTACAGATGTTTTTTCTATGACTGACTGAACGTTGCAGATTTCACTCCATGACTAAGACTTCTTAACCATCAGCATTGTCCTCAAGACACACTCATAAACACCTCTCTTTTTTTTTCTCTCCACTCAGTTGCTGTTTGTCAGTGAAAATATCTCAGAGTGCCTATCGAGTCATTTCTGCACCACTATTGTCACAAATAAATTGACCAGTTTCTACAGATCCAAAAACAATTTTTAAAAATCTCTCACTCTCCCTGTCGATTGCGCTCACATTTGATTTCTTCATGGCTGCAGATTCGCTGTAAAACCTCAAGCCGCTCTCCGATCATAAATTTCCACAGTTTTGCTTCTGCCAGTATTCTGTTGTGAACTATCTGCTCCTTTGGAAACGTTGCCTGATCCAGAACAAAGTTGGAAAAAAAGGACTGCTAATGCATCGTCTCAGTAAAACACATTCCCATGTAGGACATGGGAACAGGCTGCTCAGTGAGAGCTGTCTCACTCAGTTTCAGTAACACGACCTTTTATCAAATTATTTTTAGGACTGCTGACATCTAAAGCTTATCTGCTCATCCAACGATTTATCAAGGTGAAACTGGGAGATGTTTTGAAGTTTCTATAGCACTTAAAATGTGGCAAACATCTTTATTATTTCAATTATAAAGCTGAAATTTCAATTTAAATCTTCCAGATGGTATTGAACTTTGCATATATATTATATTTTCTTGAAAGATGTGGAGTGTGCATTGTGAGTATTTCTAAGTTCAAATCATATATCAGAAGACACCAAGTTCCTCAAAGTGCCATTCTGGGTTCACATCTTTTCTTTTCTTTTCTTAGCTGTGTTTTTATTAGGTCAGACGATTAAACAGATCAGCGACGCTTAAAGTTATTTCTTCACTGACAATCTCCATTCTTACAGAGGTACAGAAATAATCCTGTAATTAACTCCCTGGAAAGAATTAGACACAGATGAATCACTATAACAAACAGCTAAATTCGGACTGATAAGAAAAATAACTTAAGGTTAGATATGGAGCAGATAGTTCCATATCTACCAATAAACAGGAATTGTTCTCGCAGAAGCACAGTCTCTGGAATAGGACTAATTTTTGATTGAACTTTGTCCCTGTGCCATAAAAAAGAAACAATTAATAAGAAACACTTGTGCAATAAGTGCAAGGAAATTTCATTTTTCGCAACCTAGGACCATTTCGTGGACGTTGATGTCATGAAGGTAACCAGGGGATAACAGAGACACACAGTAGGGGATGCAAAGATTGAGGGAGAGAGAGGCAGCACCCTGAAGAATGCAAAATCAACAAGATGTCTGATTTTGAGTAGACATAGAAACTCTTAGTGATTCAGGAGGTGTTGAAGAAAAACTGAATCGCTGTCCTGAAAATACAAAGAAGTATTTAAAACAGGAAGAAAGCTGTCTTTTTTACTTTTTTTCCAACCTCATGGAAGCTTCAAGTTCTCTACTCATAATTAACTTACTGTCAACGAATCCACGTTGATATAGTGTTATTGAAAGATAAAGGATTTAAATAAAAAATAAAAGGATATTTTTAAATATAGTAACCTGTAGATAACATATTTGTTGACATCGTTATTTATTTGACCACTTTTTGCATTTTAAACCAACATAACTAAATTTACACAACTTTTATTATTATGGAGAAACATTTGGCCCTCTGGTGAATTTTCTCTAATAGACGCATATTAGAAAAAAATAATAATAATCAGGTGCTAATAGCAAACCAAACTCTCCAATACTGGTTTCAACATTTGAAAACAAGAAGACTGCATGTTTTTTGACTGACTTCAACAAACCTTTGGCAGAATTCTGACTCAACATTGGAGTTATTATTTGATATTGGATATTGATATCATAGCATAATTGGAAGATTTTAGTTGAAATGGTTGCACTCAAGGTACAGATCAGGCTATTTTTAGGTTACGTCTAGTAGCGAGTAAAGTTGGGCCCATGCAAAGGCTTGACGTTTTTCCGTTCCAGAACGACTTCTGATATGTGTCTGGTATCATTGTTGCGTTAAGTCGACTAATTGCTGTTGCCATTATGCGGTTCAGGTGTGTCACTCCTAAATAACCTGTGCCCCTCCCCCTCACTGACCACTTATAACTCATCTGGAGGTCTCCTGCTTGCAGCTGTGCATGCAGACATACAGATTTAACTACATTTGGAAGGTGTTTTACTTTATTTTTGTTTAGTTTTACAAAAGGCTTCATAAGAAGCAAATCTCTGCAGCATAGTTGGAGATAGACTCCTGGCGTACATGACCACGTCTTCCTATTGTGCTTCAAAGGGGGCAAATGTCAAACTGCTGTTGCGTCATGTTTTCTTTGCTGGGACTCATGGTCCCCATAAAGCACTCAGGCTGTTTGAAATCATGAGGCCTCTCTCTGATCAAAGGATTTTGCCCAAACAGCATCCCTAAAGTTTTCTGGCAAGACCGTGATATTGTAACAATCTCCTGCTTTTAATTCATTCAAATCTGTCACAGGTGAGACAAATATTAAAACCTCCTGCCAGCAACACCATATATGTCTAGATGTAAACTCCGGCAAAGACATAAGGACTGTATTTGGCGTTTCATCTCAACATATGTCAGACTTTTAAATGCAGCTCACACAGAACATTGAGGCAGAGACATCGGTAGAAGCACATCTAATTTTAATTTCGTCTGTCTCAGCAACATTGTTTTTTCTGGAGCTTTGCATGTCAACAGAGAAGATGCCTAACAATTAGGTGCTTAGAAAGTAGGTTATAAAGAGCAAAGAAAACTTCCATCTGACTTCACTGCAGTCGGCGTAAAACGTCTGCTTCCAAAAGCAACATTTATATGTTTACTGCTCTAATAATATCCTTGACTCACAGTGCAATGCACAAAGTGAGGTTGTGTGCATGTCGATGAACAAGTCCTTACAGGCTAAAAGGTCAAAACCGCCGGACAGATATTACTGCTGCAACATCAAAGAGTAATTTTAACTGGCTGTAAAGCGACAGGGCACCTTCCCTGGCTTTTTACTGACTGCCTTGACTGGGGTCAGCTCACAGTGTTAAAAGGAAATACTATAAATTACACACCACATATTGATAGGGAGAGCGATTAACCACATGCTTCCTAATCAGAAGATGAGCTATCCAATTTTGAAGGAGCAAAATGAGATCAAATATGGAAAAGGAAATGCATAATATCAATTTTATGACCTTTGAGCAGGATCTAATCTAAAACAGCCACAATATTTTGTCATCATTCATTTGTTTAATTATTAATTATTTATTATTATTATTATTATTATTATTATTATTATTATTATTATTATTATAGCTACAGTCATAGTAGTAGTAGTATTCAATAGTAATAATTTTTTTTACCACTAGAGGGGGACAAAAGCTGTTTGCAACCTCAACTTAACATCAACACACAGTGCCAGCAAAAAGATTTAAAAATTCTTATCATATTTAGAATATAAGACAGCAACATTACATTAAACACAAGGCTGAGATAGTAGCATATTAGAAAAGTGTCCTGTTTATTGCCAATCCTCTTGCCTCTCCGTTTGCCGATCACTCGATATGTGTGAACAATTTTGGCTTCTTCTAAATTACTTTTGGTATAATTATAAAAACAACATTCTCTAATCTAATATATATATATATATATATATATATATATATATATATATATATATATATATATATATATATATATATATATATATATATATATATATATATATATATATATATATAACCTTGTTTGGAGAAA